ATTTATAAGTTTAAATGTTTTAACCTAGTAAAATATATTCTTTTTATCTTCTTTTTTCTTTCAATTTTTTTAAATTCATGAATTTGTTTCTCTGTCCTAAGAACAGGTACACATTCATTTATAGTTCTTCTAGCTTCTTTACGATTTAGGTTTGTTTTTTTTTACACTGATGTCTCTTATTACATCTGAAATTTACTTTGTGAGTACAGTGTGAAATAAAAGTCAAGCAAATTTTTTCAAGTTGTTAACTAATTTTCCAAACAACATTTATTAAGAATCTTTACTTTTCCTATCGAAAGAGACTGTTTATATATACGAAAGTTTCCTTTTGAATTCTCTCAGGTCTCTTTTTTTGTTATAGGACAGTATTTATATGAATCCAACGCTATTTTAATTATTGTAGCATTATAATCTTTTCAAATCTGGCAAGCAAGCCCTCCATTATTACTTCCATTTGGTTATTCATTTCTTTGTCTCTCATATTTATTATTATTCTCAAGTTTTTGTGAATAAATTAAATGGAATTTTTCTTTTATAATCTCTAAATAGTTATTGTTGTTATAGAGAAAAGCCATTGAATATTATTTATTTTGGAACTAGCAACTTTAATAAACTGTTAATTAGTTTAATTAAAATTTTAGTTAACTCTCTTAGGTTACCTATATATGCTAGTCATTTTATCTAAAAACAGTGATAATTATAATTATTTTTCCTCTTTTTCAATATATACACTTAGCATCTGTTTCTTGACTTATTTACATTAGCTGGAAATTATAGAAGAATGTCAAGCAACAGTGTTGACACTGAACATTTTGTCTTGGTTCTTCTGTTTATTACCATCAAGTATTATACTGCCTGGTGATTTCAAGTTAAAAAAGTCTCCTCCTATTCTAATTTGGAGTAACTGTTCAATTTATTATATACCATGTTGGCATCCTTAAGAGAACCATAAGCTTTTTTTCCCTTTTATCGAACTGATATATTCTATTAGTAGACTCTAATACTTAACTGTACTTGAATACCAGGAATAAATTGTATTATGCCATGTGAATTTTTTATCTGCATATATCTCTTTGTTAATGTGCCTGTGTCTCTGTATGTCTTTCCCCAAATTTCCTTCCTTCTTATGTTTACCTTTCTCCACGGTTCTCACTTTGCTTCTCTTGGTACTTCAGTCACTAACCTCGGATATATTTAAATATTATCTATTAGCCAATATACATTTCCTAAACAACATAGTTATCAATCTTCCTTTCTCTATACATTCTTTAAATACATGGTAGAAACAGTCTGGCAATAGCAATTATGGTCCATTCTGTGTCTTTTTTTTTTAAATTTCACAACACTTCTAAAATACTCTAAAAGCAAATCAATTTCAGCATATCCCAACAGCTCTTCAAACTCCTTTTTTATCTTTTTTTAAAATTTTTCTCATACAAAAATTATACATACATTGTTATATGACTCTAATTGTTCTCCCCATACTGTGACAGCACACTCCTCCTTTCCACCTGATTCCTCATGTCCATTCAACCAGCTCCTACCCCTCTGCCTTCACATCTCACCTTCGAACATAAGCTGCCTGTTTACTCTCTTCTATCTACTTGAGCTAAGAGGCACACTCCTCATGAGTTTCACTTTATGCCCCATAGTCCAGTCGAATCCCTGTCTGAAGAGTTGGCCTCGGAAACTGATTTAGTTCTGGGCTGATAGAGAATCCAGGGGCCGTGCTTTCCAGGGCTTCTCTAGTCTCAGTCAGACCATTAAGTCTGGTCTTCTTACTAGAATTTGAGTTCTGCACCCCTCCTTTCTCCTGCTCCATCAGGGACTCTCTGTTGTGTTCCCTGTCAGGGCAGTCATAGCTGG